ACCTGGCCCTGGGAGGGGGGAGGCCAAGACACTGATCCCTGAGGAGCAGCCCTGTGAGGTGAGCATGCACATCAGCCCATTGCAGCCTCGAGCGCTAGGAAGTATTCATCCCACTTTATCGATAAAGACGGGCTCGTGCCCTGTGTCCTGGGTTAGCTGGGGGGGAGTGGGGGGGAAAGGGGGGCGTGTCAGGGCAGTTGCTTCCAGAGGGGACTCGAGGTCGGCAGATCAGGATCTGTCACTGCCACCCTGGGTCCTGAGCTGACCTGCCACCAGCGAACATGTCTCTTCCCCAGTCCTGGCCTCAGTTTCCCCTCTGAGAGGGGCTGAGAGTGGACTGAGCAAGGGTCCTCCTCCTTCCAGCTCCGAATGGAGTGCTAGGATTCTGAGTCTGCAGAGGGCACCCGGGGAAGACGGCAAAGACATCAGCGCTGAGTCTGGGGGAGGGTGTGGCTGAGGCTGGAGAGGGGGAGCCATTGGCCCAGAGTGACGCAGACGTTCTGTGTTCTCTGCGCTGAGACCCTGCCTCGGCTCTGCCCCCCAGATCCATTGGGTCTGGCTGACTCTTCTCCTCCTTCTCCATCCAAGTGTGTCCCCATAAGAAGGGACATCAGGTGGTGTGTGGAGCGCTAGACTGGGGCCCGCCCCCAGATCCCTCAATGGCACGCTGGCCCCCAACTTTGCCATGTTCCTTCTCTGCGGTGGAAGGGCAGAGGCACCCTTAGAGAGGTCCTGGGGGCCACTCGGGGCCTGGCCCTGCTCTGGCCAGAGGCCACCCACTGGCCGCCACATGCATGTGTGTGTGTGTGTGTGTGTGTGTGTGTGTAGGGGGCGGGCACAGTGGGGACAGGGGGATGGAGGGGTCCCTGCAGGCCAGGTCGGCCGGGAGCACTGCACTCCACCGACACTGTGCTGGCCGGACTGCGCCACCAGCCAGCCCTGCCAGGCTTAGCGCCATCCAGGCCCTGGGCAGGGAAGGCCTCTGCTTCCAACAGCTGCCTCCTGCTGCTCCCCCTCCCCGCGCTGCTCACAGGCTGCATGTCAGTGGCTCGGCCCGGCCCAGTGCTCATCTGTCTCCGGGTCCCGGGGCGAGTGGGTGGGTGGGCAGCAGGTGCTGTGTCCTCGCCTTCACCCCCTCCCATCGATCACCTTGCAGTGCTGCTCTGCAGACCGTTGGTCCCTGTGTCTCAACGCACCCGCTATTCCTCCGTCTCTCCTGCTCGGCTGTTGGCATGTTTTGCTTTGCAGTCCTTCCCCGTCCTGCCTCCTGTCTGCAGCTCCCTCACCTCCTCCTTCTCTCCCCGCGCGGGCAAGGGGAGGGCGTGATGCTCCAGCCCCTAGCCTCAGGCCCAAGGGAACCCCTCCGGCCAGCACCCTCTCCCTCACTTCAAGGGGGTGCGCAGCAGGCGGGGGGGCCAAGTGCTGCCGTCAGCGGCTTCAGAGCCTTGCGGTCCCCTCCCGGCTGCGTCAGGCCTCCACGGGTGGTGGGCAGGCAGCCCAGGGACAAGGACAGGGACGTGGTAGCTGACGCACCGGACAGGGTGATGGGGAACCTTTTCCCCCTCCGTCTGAGTCTCGGGGGAGAGGGAGGGTGGGGGGAGCTGGACCCTGGCCCAGGCCATCCTGGAGGCCAGGAGGAGTGAGAGAAAGGGCCACGGGCAGGGTCACCTTGAGGGCTCAGGTGGGCAGAGCTCAGAGAGGCTGGGGTGGGGGTTGGGAAGGGAAGAGATAGGATAGGACCAGCTCCCACCCCAGCCTGGGCCCCTTCTCCTCTTCCCTCTCCTCCCTCCCCCTCAGCCTTTTCATATCCCCCTCCCACTCCCACCAGCATGGCCTGAGGTTGTCCCAAGGCTCCGGCAGCTCAGCTCTGCCTGGCAGCCCCTGCGCCTGGCTGAGGGGCCCAGGTTTAAGCACTTCAGAACTGAGGATGGGGTGGGGGTAGGGGGTCTCTGTGGGGCTGAAGTTGCACATGTACACGCATACATGCACATCATACATGTGCTTAACATGTCATCATGTAGGTAGGCGTTTGCCCGTGTTCCCCTGAGATGCCCCCCGCGCCCATGTTCACCTCTGTAACTGGCCACGAGGCTGCAGAGCCTGTGCACACAGGCAAACGTGTGTGCTCACGCCTGCCGCGCGTCCGTCTGCTTGTACGTGGCAGCACACCCTGCGCTGGCGCTCTGAGCAGCGCACACCTGCGCGTGCACCTGCATACAAATGCGGTCCCCGGGCTGCTCGCGGCAGGAGGTGCGGAGGGCTCTCTGGAAGAAAAAAGAGGCCACAGGACAGGAGCTCAGGTCTCTGACTCCAGCCCCCCAGACTGCGTTGCACAGTCAGGGACAGAAATGCTCTCTGCTGCCTGGGCACCCCCTCCTTCCAGGGGCCCCACCCCCACCCCACCTGGCCCCTCAGCCCAAGCTGTCCTGCAGGGGACGAGGTGTGAGGCCGCCTCCGGGAGGCCCAGACCATCCAGCCTCTGACTCCAAGTCAGCCTCTAATCCGAGGGGTCATCTGGACGCCCTGGCCACCTGCCACCTCCACAGAAACTGCCTGCCTGGCCTTCCTCGGGCACCCCCCCCCCCTTTCCCTCCGTCCCAGCAGCCCTCTGGGGCCAGGACTGTAAATTGGTTTTGCTTTAAAGACAAAGGTTTAACATTTTTTTTTTCTCTCAACGCGTTTTCCTTCCTGGAGTTTCCCAGGAGCGGCAGCAGGAAGCAGAGGTAGCTCCTGGGGACAGTCTCAGGCTTTCTTTATCCAAACATGGATTTCTCTGCCTCATCTTCACACCCCTGCCACTGCCCAGGGCACAGGGAGGGAGCACCGGGCTCTTCCCGCAGCCAAGAGAGCCCTGGGTGGGGGCTGGAGCCCCGCCTGGCTGAAGGGCCGTGTCTGGGGCTCGGTTTCCCCACCTGGACAAGGAGGGTCTGTCGGCTCTGAGCCCTGCGCCGTCTCCCCTGCCCATCTGCCTCTGGGGCACGGGCAGCCCGGCTCGCCGTGCCTCCCCCATCAGGGGGCCGGCAGGGACCTGTCCCCACTCCGTGGCTGTGGGAACGGGCTCAGGCAGTGCTTGAGCTCAGGGTTGGGCTCCAGGCCTCCTGATTTCCGCTGCCGCAGGAGCCTTGATCCTGGCCCAGGTGGTGCTGTGTGACTCATGGCACGTCTCTGCCCCTCTCTGATGGGGCTTTGATCGTCATTCTGGAGGCCTTTGGCTTTTTTGCCTGCCTGGGGGCTCCCCGCCAGCTCCCGCCCCCTTTCTTCGAGGAGGTGGGATTGGGGGCGGGCGTGTGTCTGGCTTCGCTCTCTCGCCCTCTCTTTC